TATATGAAACAATCCTACTGTTGATATTTTCAGCAGATCCATATAGAGATGAAAAGTACACAGAATCTGGTTTCTGTAAAATTAAGTAATAGTGTTCTTTTATGGTTTGTCAAAGCTACAGTCTGTATTTTGTATTTTTTATTTTTCAACTGCTAGAGTTTTGTCTTCTTTCCATCAAAATGCAGACCTTGAAGTGTATCCATCAAAATGCAGACCTTGAAGTGTTTCCATCAAAATGCAGACCTTGAAGTGTATCCATCAAAATGCAGACCTTGAAGTGTTTCCATCAAAATGCAGACCTTGAAGTGTATCCATCAAAATGCAGACCTTGAAGTGGATTATACTTATCATTACTCTGAAATTGTGAAAATTTTATTTTTGTCAACTAAGCCATAATCATAACTAGTTTCAATACTGAAATCTCGCAACACACTTTAAGCAATGGCTATGGTTGCACTGTCTGATAATTTGTAGCAATCATTTTTCATTGAAATGAGCATCTGTTATGGTGGCTCAATTCTTTATTTGTAGTCTAATGTTGTTTTACAATTGTTTAATTTTCATGAAGCTTTAGACTGTTTCACACAGTGATACATCAAACAATAACAATGATTTATTTAACACTATTTATATATCTAAATCTTAAACTCTTTTAGGATTTCATGTACATCTTTTATAAATCTTTTATGTATTTTATGTATCTTTTATAATGTATTTTATGTATCTTTTATAAAGATATATATCACTATATCATATCTTTTATGATATTCAAGTGAAAATCATTCTGAAATCTCCTGAAAATCAATTGCAACATTTGAAACAAGTGTTAAATATACTTTCACATTTAACAGAAAAAATCAGTTGTGACAGAGAAAAATACAGCACAGAAATGTATGTTCAAAAGATATTTTCCACTCTAAGACAAACCTTTTTAGGAAAAAAAACTATCCTATTAAATTCAATCACCAAAAAAAGATGAGTTAATGGTACACAAATATTGGACATGTAAACAGTGTTAAAAATTATTTTGAGAGATGAGTTTTCTTTTAGAATGTTGACTCACACTGTTGGAAAACAATTAGGAAAAAATTCAACCCCTTTCCCCCCCCCCCCCCTCTTGCCCATGGTAAAAAGATTGTTTAGAGTTGTTTTTTCAAGCAATAAATGAGAAAACTAAATAAAAAATGAATAGCACTATATATGTTATAATCTTATGTCTTATGACATCTATGTTGTATATCTAATTTCTTTTGATTTAACTCAGTCTCCTGATTTGAAAATAATAGAAAAACATTAGTGTTTTTCAAATAGTTTTGTTATATTGTCTAATATAAACCAAAATTCTAGGGTAACAAACACAGATGAACAATTTTAATTTGTTTTCTTTTATCTTGGTTATATACTTTATCAAATGACTTGTTAAAAAGATTTGTAAATGGTATATCTTTAAGATGTGCGGAAGTCATTAAAGAACAAAGGATGGTCAATTAAGGAGTTATGCAGCTAAAAAATACTATATATATTTTAATTTCACTTTATTATATGGAATTTACAGTAATATAGTATCATACACGTTTATCCATAAAAAGTTTCTTTTATTACTTATATTAAATAAGGCTTAGAAATTATTTGTGTATAAAAAGGTTTAGTGTGGCATTTTTTTTATGCATCCCACTGTATATACATTTATTGTGATATTAAGTATTTTTTAAATTTATTTAGGTTTACTTTGTGAAAGTCACAGCTTATAGAACAGGTGTTCCATTACGTCTTGAGAGGTTGTCAGACCCTGCTAAATTTAATATAAGTATCCAATTTTTTATTTAATGACTGTTTTTATATTTATATATATATCAATACTTAATTTCAATTTGAGGTGTTGTATGTTTAAAATTTTTGTTTGAACATTAAAAATGATAAAAATAAATTTTGAATTGTTTTATATATTACATTTAAATTTTTTAGTAGTAAATCGCCTTTATCTCGGCTGTTCCATCGCAACGTGGAAAATAATAGTGTTTGGTCTTATTTTGAACGGACTTGCTGTCATGTATCTAGTTCCTTTCATAATTAACGTTCTCCAAGTATACGCAGAGAAAACTGAACACATATATTAAAATACTATTTGACAAGCACTGTTCCATCATTATTTATTAACGTGCTTAAGAATTACATGCATCCAATTTAAATTGTAGATGAGGAATAATAATGAATATTCCCAAAAAAAATTTTAAGTAACTTTTAGAAGCTTCGATTGTTCTGAAAATAAAACAGCGTTCTATATAACATCGATAATATCTAAAGTGGATGAAGAATCTTTTAAAAAAACGAAATTGAATATGAAAGTTTTTGTTTTCTTTGACATAAACACTCCAACGAAACGCATCTTGGAAAATGAAATTTATATTTATATATTCTTGAAAAAAATATTTTATACAGAAATAATTATTGCGATGTTCTACAATAAATTGTATTACTACTTAAAAATATTTTTTTTTAATTGTTTTTTGTTATTTCTCTAAATCATTTATAGATCATGGGGTTAGACATATTTTGATGATATAATAAAAGGTTTTTCAAGGTAATATGTTTAAAAACCAAAAACAGATATTTTGGTTTCTACAAATTTATTCTACAATAGTTTACTATGCACAGAGATGCAAGTACCAAAAGCTTTTAGGCTTACTTGCAGAATAGCTGAAGTTTAAGTTTAACAGTGATTAATAAGAATCAAATATATCTAACAAGGGAAAGTTAATTTGCTTAAAAGACTTTCTTTCAGTTGAATGATCAGGTCTGTGAGTTATCAAAAGACGAAAAAATTAAAGTGATATGAATTTTTAAATTTTGACGTAACATAAAATAAAAATGTTTATACTCGGTGAAGTTAAGGTGATTTTAACTACATCGATTACAAACTATTCGAATTTTTTTATTTCCAATTAGCACGGTTTTATCGGCGTATTATGTCCAAACAAGAACTTTAGATGGTAAATTTTTTTTTGCTTCAGGTTTTTTTGATATTTAAAGAAATTTTTCTTTTTTTATATATATAATTTTTAAAATGTTTTTACTAACCTTAATAGTGAATCTAAAGAACACCATTTTGGAGTTTTTATATTGCGCTCATCGGCGTTAACATGAATTTAGTTAATTTTATTGAAAAAGTTCCTTAACTTACTATTGATCCTACTTTTACTCATCTACACCAAGGACGTATTAATAGAAGGACGTTTAACGCTTTGTTATAGATCTGAGGCGCCGCGAGTAAACAAAAACCTATGCGAGCTATAATTTTTAGCGTCATTTTTCTGAATAATTTAAAAAAGTATACTAACGTTTTTCCGACATTTTCGCTTTTCAAACTACTTTTTTTAAAAGTGCAATTACCTATAAAATTTAACTTTTTTTAAAATTAATGCAATTCAGTTAATCAGAAATAGTTCATCTATTTTAAAATTTCAAACTTCATACGTGAGCACTTTTTAATAAGAAATTAAAAATCATTAATAAAACTTAGACGTCAAAATCATATTTTTGTGAAAAAGTGATATGTAGTTTGAAAGAATGAATACTGCAAAGTGAAACGAATTTTCTAGATGTTGTTGGTAAAACTGAAGATCATTTATAGATCGAACTACAGATTACTTGTGGCCTCTATTCCCTATACTTAGTTTTTACTAATATTTTAAGGTGGCTCACCCCTATTAAAAATCAAAAAAAAAATTTTTTTTTTTGTTTTTGTTTTATGCTATTTCAAACATTGAAGAACAAAATCCATAATCAATTTTTACTACTATGTGCTTTAAAAGTAACAAAAAGTACAGTTATTGTGGTCAATGCACTTTCCTATTCCATAGCAACGCCATAGCAACGGTGTAAACAACAATTTTATTAACTACTTCTTAAAGATTTTCACTAGAAATTTTGAAGTATTTCTCTGTGTTAGATCTATTATGCTTTTCTACTGTTCTGCAAAGTATATCGTTTTTAAAAAATGTGCTTTGTTTCATTATTCTGATGTATTTTAACTAAAACTGTCTGTCTGAATTTAACTGAAAGCTATCTAAATCTAAATATGGCAATCAAAAGAAATAAAGTTAGAAGTTTAAAGAGCAAATATCAAGGAAATAGATATTCAAGGGAAGAAAAGGATGTAGTTGATTGTAGCAGGAAATCAGAAACAACAAGTGCATCAAAGCTTAAGAATAAACATAACTTTAATGATGCAACGAATTGTGATTCTGAAGTCGACAATTTTTTTTTTATATGTAACTTTAGAGTTATTAAAAATATATTTGAACTGTATTCTACATGCAGTGAGTGTAATAGCAAGTTAACTTTTTTGCATAATAAATCTGTACGTATGGGATTTTCTATTGGAATTATAATACAATGTTCAAACTGTGGCTTTGAAAGTACATTTTATTCATCTCCAACTATAAATCAAAGTTCAAAACCTGGTTCAAACCCATATGAAATAAATTTGCAAGCTGTTATGGCATTTCGTGAAATTGGACGTGGTAATGAAGCTATGTCTACTTTTACTGCTATAATGAATATGCCTCCACCTCTTACGAATCACAGTTATAATCTTACAAACAATAAATTACATAAATTTTATAAGGAAATTAGTTTACAGAGTATGAAAGCTGCTGTATCAGAACTAAGAGAAACTTTAAATGCAAATGCTTCTGATGATGAAATTATTGACTGAGGCATATCAATAGACGGAACATGGCAACGTCGTGGATATTCTTCCCTAAATGGTGTTGTTGCTGGTCTTTCACATGAAAATAAAAAGGTGATTGATGTTTTTTCTTTATCTAAGTTTTGTATGCAGTGTGAAGTACATAAAAGAATAAACAATCCAATTGATTTTGAATGTTGGAAAGCTACACATAATTGCCTGGTTAATCATTTTAGCTCAGCAGGGTCAATGGAAGCTGCTGGAGCTCAAGAAATATTTCATTCGTCTATACTAAAGTATAATTTAATATATACTAAATACCTTGGAGACGGTGACTCAAGTTCATTTTCTAATGTTGTTAAAAGTAAACCATATAGTGATTGTATTATTGAAAAACTAGAGTGTATTGGCCATTATCAGAAAAGAGTAGGCTCTCGTTTGCGTCAAAAAATTAAAGACTTTAAAAGCAGGTTGTTAAGTGACGGCCTAAAAATATCGGGAAAAGGAAGATTAACCAATAAATCTATTAACACAATGCAGAACTTTGTTGGAATGGCTATAAGACAAAATAAAAATGATCTATTGTGTATGAGAAATTCTGTAATAGCTGTACTTTACCATTGTACAAATTTTCCTTATGAAGTTACTCGTCATCAATTTTGTTTAAAAGGGAAAAACAGCTGGTGCAAATGGCAATCAGATAAAGTTACAGGTAAAACATGTTATAGACAAAAAATTAACTTACCTGTTACAATTATGGAGGAAATTAAACCTATTTTTCAAGAACTGTCAAACCCTGAAATGCTAAGAAAGTGTTTACATGGAATGACACAAAACTGCAATGAGTCATTTAATGGTTTCATATGGCAGAGATGCCCTAAAGCTACTTTTACTGCAAGAAAAATTCTTGAAATAGCTGTTTATTCTGCTATTTTAAATTACAATGATGGATTTACTTCTTTAAGGTATATTTTTAAAATGCTTGGGTTTACTGGAGGTATTTATTTCGAAAAAGGAGCTTTCAAAAAAGATAAAAAGCGACTATCAAGTATGTCAAGAAAATCGACTGACATGAATAAAAAACGAAGAAAACATTTAAGATCTATAAAAAAAGGTTATTTAGACATTGAGAAAGAGAATGAAGATGTAAACTTTTATGCTAGTGGCAGTTTTTAGTAACTTTTCACAAAAACACTTTTCTTTTTTACATTGTTTTATTTTTAAATGTGTTTTTTAGGACTTTCTTATTTTTATACGGTTTTCTTACAAAAACATTAATATCTTCAGTTTGGTTAAAGCTTTTATCTTCAAATTTTCACAGTATGTGTATTAACTTATTTATGAGGGCTGGAACTAAAATTGTAATATTTCAAGTATAAATAAATTATTTTCAATATAGTTTGTTAGACTGACACTGGCGATTAATTAGTTTTTGCACATTTATTGCTGCCATTTTAGTTTTTTTCCACATTTGGAAAAAATTTTAGTTCCAGCCCTAAAGCAATTATTTAGCTACCATTTGGCAAAATATAGTGTAATAAGTGCAAATTTTACTCAAGATATCATTGTTTTAGATAAGGTAAGATTTTGGACAAATTATGCTGACTCAGCATCAAAAAATGCAAATTTCATTTTTATTTTGAAAAGTTAAAGTTTTAATGTAATTTCCTTATATAAAAAATTAAAAACAAGTTTAGAACCTTTATAAACAAAAAGTTAGATTTAATGGGGGTGAGCCACCTTAAGTATTTAAATTTCTCATTTTTGTCGGAAATTTTGTCTCACTTACTATTTTGTTTTGATATTTTTCATTGATTAACTTTTTTTTTTTCCATGTAAAGATTTCGCTTGAGTTTATAGATCATATAATGAAAAGGTTTTATTTATTTAAAAACTTTTAGAGTTTTTAGGTGTTATGAAATGTTTAAATATTTTTTAGGCTAGGCGAGACTATCGCTATTTTGACGCAAAATCAAAATTTTCTCCCGTTAAAAATAGTTAACATCTGTTCTCTATTGTTTTGCTATTGTTATTTGTAACAATCAATAGCGCGAATATCTTGGATTTTAAACAATATGTTAAACGTCCATCTATTAATACGTGCTTGACTACACCGTGTAGCGAAAGACCGGAGATTTTTTATTTTATTTTAAATCTTCTTAAACTCTTGATTGCTTATCCAAAGATTTTGAATAAATACGTCATTTAGTTTAATAATATGATCTGTTACGATCGTTTATTGGCAGTTTTTCATCATTTTAAGCTCTTTCTTGATCAGAATTCTAAAATTTATTGTGGAAATTGATAGAAATGTTGTAATCTGACAACTATATTTAACTAATATGTCAGAACTGATTAGAACTAGGATCTATAGTGGGTTAACGCACTTTTTCAAATATTTTAAACTAAAATTAAGTTAAATTAGTTAGGGGAGTAAAAAAGTTTTGAAAATTATATAAACAAGAAAAATGTTTTTCAATTTTATTTAGGTGCCCCAAGTAGTCCTTACGGTCTTTTTACAGCGCATTGCGGATGAGTATTTAATTATAAGTTCGCGCCTCCTTCCTTACCGAAGTTGCAAAACTTGCCCGATGTGAGATTTGAACTACGAATCCTTTTTTTCTGAAGCAAGTGTACTACTGTGTTAGTAGTAAGTGTACCACTGCTCCACGGCTGCTCATTTCTAAGACTAATTTCAAATGAAAGAATTCAAATAATTTAAAAATTGCCTTAATTGCACCGAGTAGAAAAAACAAATGTCTAAACTCTCAAGAACATTATAATTATGTAATAATCATCAATAATTTGAT